AGGGAGGGAGGGAGGGAGGGAGGGAGGGAGGGAGAGGGAGTACCTGTAACATGAAGGCAGAAGGGGGAGTGTGTGAGAGGAAAGGGGGCGGGAGGGGATGGAGGGGCCGAGAGGACAGTGGCGGAGGGACAGATTAAGGACTAAGCATGGGGACACACATGTATCCACTTCCGTAATGAACCCCCTTTGCACGGTAACTTAAAAAATAATAAAAAGCAACAATCCCAAAGCCTCATCAATCAAGTCCCACTTTTTCCCTGCCAATTAGCCAGGGGCTGAAGACTGCTTCCCGGGTGTGTATCTGTTTTTATATGATGCTGACAGCCCTGCCAGAGGAAGTATAAATTAATAACATTCTAGAAAAACAAAATTTTGATATCAAGGGTTTAAAATATTCATGTTCTTTAAGCCTCTAACTTCGTGTAAAATTAAACCCTGGCAACAGCCCATGTATGTAAAATAAGGAGTCAGGTTTCACAGAGTACTCCACACACTGCAGCCCATTAGAATCGTGCTTACAATGTGTCCCAGTTAGGTTTACTACTGCTGTGATGAAACACCATGACCCAAAGCAACTTGGGGAGCAAAGGGCTTATGTGGCTTACACTTCCACACCATAGTCCATCACTGAAAGAAGCCAGGACAGGAACTCAAACAGAGCAGGCACCTGGAGGCAGGAGCTGATGCAGAGGTCATGGAGGAGAGCTGCTTACTGGTTTGCTCCCCATGGCTTGTTCAGCCTGCTTCCTGATAGACCCCAGGACCACCATCCCAGGGATGGCATCACCAACAAAGGGTTGGGCCCTCCTCCATCAACCATTAATTATGAAAATGCCCTACAGCTGGATCGTACGGATTTCAGTTTTCTCAACTGAAGTTTTCTCCTTTCGGATGACTCCACTTTGTGTCATTTGACATAAGACTAGCCAGCATGCAGGGTGATCTGTGCATGTAGGGAAGCGGCCTTGGGAGGTGCCACCTGGGTAACTGCTCCCTTCAGCATGAGGTGAAGTCGCAGGAGGATGATTCCTTGGATGGGAATGGCCGTGTGTGCCCCTCTGCTGTTTACATGAGCCTTTCCAACATTCACGTCGTTATCCCCAGGCTTAGGTGAGGGAGATGGCCACTACCACCCAGGACAGAAACACTATTATCTTCACACTTTCAGACTTCAAATCCTTTTTCTCTTTTATATCAGAAAATATACCTCCAGTTCACACTCCAGGTTTATTTATTATCTTGTGTGTATGAGTGTTTTGCCTGTAGGTATCTATGCTTACCACATGCGTGCCTGGTGCCTACAAAGGTCAGAAAAGGGTGTCAGATCCCCCAGGACTGGAGTTGCAGGCAGTTGTGAGCTACAGTGTGGGTGCTCAGGAAGAGCAGCCAATGCTCTCAAGCACTTAGTCATCTCTCCAGCTCCAGTTCACACTCTAAATGTCCTTGCTGTGCTGGGGGGCCACTGCCTGGCTTGACCAGTACAAGAACAGGTTTACCCTAGAATGGTATACAGATATTTACTCAGAATTCACAGAATGTATTAGTCAGGATTTCTATTGTGGGGGGAAAACACCGTGATCAAAAAAACTTGGGGAGGAAAGGGTGTGTTTTGCTTACACTTCCACATCCTAGTCCAACATTAAAGGAAGTCAGAACAGGAACTCAAGGCAGGAACCTGGAAGCAGGAACTGAAGCAGAAGCCATGAAGGAGCTCCAAGTCCTGCTCACAGACCAGGACTTGCTCAGTATGCTTTTTTACATCATCCAGGACCACCAGCTCAGGGGTGATAATGCCCACAGTGGGACAGGCGCTCCCTTATCAAATTTTAATCAATAAAATGACCTCCAGACCTACCCATAGGCCAATCCCGTGGGAGCATTTTCTCAATGGATGTTCCTTCCCCTCAAATGACTCTAGCTTGTGTTAAGTTGACAAAAACGCTAACTAAGGGCACAGGACCACGGCAGGAGTGGTGTATAGAAATGGCATGTCTTCTCGGCTAGAAATCACTCCACCATTTAGAGATTAATAAGGAAAAACTCTTTAATACTAGCCCATGACTGACTCTGCACCAGGGAACCAGCCCCCAACAGAAATTCCATCGGCGTTCAAAGTTTCACAGCCCCAGATTACAATTTTAAGCCATTAAAAATGTTTCATAGGGGCAGAAATGTCAAGATTTGGTTGCTTGGACAACTGGGAAGATTTACGATTTGAAAATACTGTGGTAGTTATCAGGGAACAGACAGGGTACTTTACCAGGCAGCCGTTAACCAAGACTGTCCTTCCTGCCTAGCAGAATGATCCTCTTCCTGATAAGAGAACCAGGGGCACTCCTCTAGCTCACTTCTTTGTGTGACTTAATACTTCCTAAGCAAATTTAGTACATCCTTTATTACATCAATGTATTATTCTCAGCTGTTTTTGATATCTGTGAGATTATTAACCGCCATTGGCACAGAGCTATAATTAGGTTAAGTCTGTAAGGTGCTTGCCACAGAGGCATGGAGACCTGAGTTTGATCCCTGACACATCAGAAAAGTTGGGCATGGCTGCACACACCTGTAATCCCAACCCTGAGAGGGAGAGACAAGCAGATCTCTGGAGCTCATTGGCTAGCCAGCCTCGTCAATCAGGAGCTTGCGATCAGTGAGAGACCCTGTCTCAAAAGATAAGGTGGAGGAGCTGGAGAGATAGCTTAGCTGCTGAGAATACTGATTGCTCTTGCAGAGGACCCATCTGTAACTCCAGTTCCAGGGAATACAATACCCACTTCTGACCTCCGTGGACACCAGGCATGCAAGTAGTACACATACATACATGTAGGCAAAACACTCACACATAAAATAAAAATGAGTAAATATAATAACAAACAAACAAATAATAAATAAATAAAAAGGTAGTGAGCAATTGAGGAAAACACTCAGCATCTACCTTGGGCCTCCAAATACACATGCATACAAATCCATAGGTGCACACATGAATATATAAAAGTACATATATACACACATGCACACCCACCCATAGGTACATACATGAACTTGTGTGTACAAATATGTATCATAAATACCCTTGTTGTTCTCCTTGAAGTCACCGGGAAGAGGGTGGCTCAGCATTGCAACCTTGGGCAGGGCACTTCAGGCTCCGCCTCTGCTTCCTCATCTGTGAAGAGGGAATACAGATGTTGAGATGTGATGAACTATGCAAACCGATTATACCTTGTGTCTTGGCCACAGTACTCCCAGCAATGCCAGCCTATCACTGACCCTGGTTTCGGTTTCGGGGAGCACAGAACATGAGATGGACACAATGCAGACACACCGCACGCTCAGCAAGCTACTGGGGAGAGGAGCACAGTGCTATGCAGAGTCCCCAGCACAGAGCACTGTGGGTCACAGAACATAGATGAGCCAGCAGCCAGTACCTTGCTGAAGAGGATCCTCACAGATTAGTCTCCTGGTGGAGAGCAAGCTTGCAATAAGTTTGCTGGTGAGCAAGAGAAAAACCAGTGTCTCCGGAAAGAGATGTGGGGTGGGCAGGGGCAGGTGAGCAAAGCCACGCCCCTTTGCCCAGCCGGGGGTGGGGGTTGGGGGGGACCGACAGGTTCGCTCTGTAGCGGTACACAGCAGCTCACTCACAATTCACAGGACCTCTGCTGCAGTGGGATTATTAATGACCCCCTTCACCCAGTGTAATTAGGCAAACCGCTGGTGCTTTCTCCAAGTAAATATTTTGACTTTCTTCTTCCTCTCTGTCACAATAAAATTCTAATCTAAGCTCCTTCTCGTGGGGAAGCTGCGCCTGAGAGGAAGCTCCTGGGAGCATGACTCTTCTTCGCCGGCAGATCAATGCCACCGCCTCGCCTTGGTCTTCTACCCTGGCAGGGCCTGAGACAGTCCTCCCATGCTGGTGGCCTGTGTCCTTAGGCCTCTGATGAAGAGGGTCAACGTGGTCCAAAGCTGCCGTACACAGGCCGGTGAGCTGAGCGTTGCCATCCTCTGCAGTGGTCTCTTAGAAGCCGTTGGACCAGTTCTACCACTGAGGCATCTCCACAGAGACTCAGTGACTCGGGAGGTCACATTCCTTTGCCTCCTGCTAAAGACAGCTCCCTCCTTCCATGTAGGGCTCCTTCCACTGATCTCAGGGTCTCAGAAAGTGACCAGCTTCCCCGAGCATCAGGAAAGGGTCCCCCAGGCATCTTTCCTGGGGAGTAAGCAGGAACTCTCTTATAAAGGGATGCACAGCACCTGGGAAGCACCCAGCCTTTGCCTTGTGCACATAGATGTAACAGCAAAGAGCTCATATTTTCTAGAAAAAAAACAGGATTAAATCTGAGCAGCCAAAGAAAACATAAGCAGGTTAGCTGGCCGAGTGGCCTCCCTGGAGACCCGGATCTGTGCTCTCTACTCTTACTTTCCAGATGGTTTCAGTCTCACAAGCCTCTACACAGAGGCCGCCAAGGCATGTGCAGGTATGTATGACAAGTCCTGGGCCTCCATTAACCAGCTTCCCTGTGGCACCCCAGCACTACCACCACACAAATTCTCAGGTCACCAGTGAAGCCCCTGTAGACACTATAACTCCAACCTGTGAGTCTCCTGACTGTCCTGACAAGTTCAATTGTCAGCAACATTGTGGGAAGCTCAAGCAAATGCAGGTGTCAGATGTCCATGGCACCCCACAGAGGTCCTCAAGGCACTTGGAGTTAGAAAGTGGTCCCCGTGTCCAGAACTGGGGTAACTCTGAAGAATAACTCAGCCCATGGTGCCCAGGACCGGCTCCCAGGTGGAATCCTGCCCCTGGGAACGTAATTAAGGCACACACACTGCCTGGGCCATGTGGGCCACAATCTAGCAGGAGAGGGTTGGGGAGGTTATGGGGCCTTGGTGTTAACACAGAAGACAGAACTGTAAGAGAGTCTTTGCGGTGAGGGAGCTCAGACCCCAGAGCAGAGAGCTCGCCAAAGACTCCCTCCTCCCACTGAGCACCCTGAGCAAAAGCCTGCATCCATTCTGCTTCTCAAACTCTCTACCGCTTAGTATTTTCCAGTTAGCCATGGCCCAGGGCTTTTGTAGAACGCAGCCAGCGATGGTTACCTTTTTAGTGACCATGCCCTGGCATGTCACAACTATCCACGGTTCTCGGGATGGCTCAGTGCTCAGCAGCAGTGCTCAAGTGTGTCTGTGTGGCCTGAGGCCAATTCTCAGAGAGACTCAGACCTTCAGTGGGTACAATGACAATCGGTGGACACAGTCATTGAGATTCTAAACATGAGTTTTATTGAATCTTTTGATTGTTGCCATGTGAAGATGATGCTGAGTTGGTGGAATTAAAACACACTTTGGGGGTTGGGAGATGCTAGGCAGGCATGGGAACCTAAGTTAGGATCCTCAGCACCATTTAAAAGGTGCTGTACATACCTGCCGTCCGTCCCAGTGCTTGGGGCAGATATAGGAAGGTTCCTGAGGCTTGCTTGCCAGCCAGCCTGGACAACCAGTGATGTCTGGGTTCAGTAAGAGCCTGTCCTGGCTAGTTTTTTGTCAACTTGATACAAGATAGAGGAAGGGACCTCAGCTGAAAACGTTTCCATAAGATTGGAGACAGGTATCTTGTAGGGCATTTTCTTAGTTAGTGATTGAGGTGAGAGGACCCCACTCCTAAGGGTGGTGCCATCCCTGGGGAGACCAGGTTGAGTTACCTATGAAGAACAAGCCAGTAAGCAGATCTCTTCTGTGGTCTCTCCTGCAATTCCTGCCTCCAGGTTCTGGCGTCAAATTCCTTCCCTGACTTCCCGGATAACGGGCCACGAACTGTAAGATGAAATAAATTTTTTCTCCCTAAGTTGCTTTTCGTCAAGGTGTTTTATCACAGCAATAGAAAAATAACTAAGATGGAGACCCTGCATCAAAAAACGAAGGGGAGACGTGTGCAGTGGGTAAGGTACCTGCTGTGTAAGCGTGAGGATCTGGGTTCAGATCCCCAGACCCCACAGAAAAGCAGAGCATGGTGGCACATGCTTATAATCCCAGTGCTGAGAAACAGGATCCTGGGGACTCACGACGAGCCATTCTAGCTGAAACAACAAGCCCCGAGTTAAGGGAGAGACCTTGTTTGTCTCAAAATACAAGGTTTAAAGTGATAAAGGAAAAGACTTGGTTAACCTCTGATCTCCAAGTGAGCACACCTGCACACATATTGCATACAACACACACACACACACACACACACACACACACACACACACACACACACACACACACACACACCATGCTTTGAATTGAGGAGAGAAAAAGCAAGTGTCATCAACATTCCTTTCCCTGAGATGACCCCAGCCATGGAGATGTTTCAGGAGCCCCATTCTTCACGGTGATCGGCTCTACATTCTCTGGTCCATTTGCAATGTCATGAACCTGTTTCCCTAAGCATGGATCCAGGTTGGCTCACAACCCCGAGAGCAGACAGAAGGACCCATAAGGAAGATGCTGAGAAAGGTCCTAAGTCACAGCTGCTTCAAGATATGGTTACTCACTGTTGATTACAAGGAGACCTCAGGGATGCTGACACCATGGCCATTCTGTTCATTGTGTTCAGGGGAAAGTGCAGCCTCGCTATGAGAAAACTGTTCCCCCTCAAACAAGAGTACTGTAGGCTGTTAACTGTCCATTTTCATGACAGGTAAACTGAGACAGAGGAACAGAATGTCAGCAGCAGTGAAAACATAGGTGACTCTGGGCCGTTGAACAGTGTTCCAAGTGCTGCATTTAACAGCTGGCTACCGGTTGTTTTGTGCAACCTGGGTTGGGGCAAGCCACAGTGCCAGGAAGGGCAGGGCCAGATTACCCCTCCAGTCCAACGTAGTCAGATCAAATAAAAGAACAGTGCAGCCCTCGCAAGAGAACACCGGGTGGTCTTGCTGTAGCTTCACAGCTCAGGAGCTCCTGTAGGGCCTTTCCTTGACATTGAAATGGTCCACCCACTGGGTGTGAGGAGGCACACCTGTGACCCCAGCACTTGGGAGGCTGAGGTATGAAGATTGCAAGTTCCAGAATAGCCTGGGCTACAGAACAACACATCCACCAACTCCCCACTAGGAGTCCAGTGGCTCAGAGATGCTGAAAGAGTATCCTACAGCAAAATAATTCTGCCTTCACTTGATGCTCACTTCATAAATGCCACCAATGCAATCCACCATGCCAGGGACGCAGCAGCCACCCCAGCTCCCCATTTGGAAAGCTTATTTTCTAGCCGCTGTACGAGCTGCACGTGGTCGATTTGGCCATACATACACAAGCACTGTCCAGTGCAGCGGCCTTCACCCACCCTCCTGAGTCTCCTCCCTGCGTCTAGTGCAGGATGCGCCTGCAGCCCTCTCCACTCTCGGCAATGTCTCCACTGTCCAGAGCATCTGGTGAGTGGTCACACACAACAGCTAACAATGCCTGAATACTGTGATGATCTGGTCCCCACAGGCTTCGTTTTGATAACAGAATCGGCCCCTTGAATGAGGCTTTGTTTATCTTACCACGAGCAGCACATTTCCACTACAGCCAAGTGCTCTTCACCCTCCCAGGGAGGCTGGTACAGGTCCTGGTGGCTTCTGCTTGTTTGTGTGTTTTCATGAAAAGAAACTATAAAACCATTTTTTTAAGAATATCATTTTCCTACAGGCCCTGTCGGTGTTAGATGTTCCAGAACAGAACACATTCAAGTTAATCTAACACCTCGAACTGTCAACCTGTCATCTGTCAGCTGCCCACTCCCAGGTGGGTCTTCCACTGCACAGCCTCCGTCACACACAGGGAAGCCGTGTGAGTGTACAAACCAGAAGAAGGGAGGAAGCTGGCTCATATCTTTACCCAGGAAGGGGAATCAACCCCCTGCAGCACCATCCCCCCACAGTGTCATCCCCCCCGCAGCCCCATCCCCCTGCATCCCCA